GAGGATGGGGATAATGATGACGATGCTTATGACGATGACGATAATGGTGATGATGACGGTGAAGATGACGAGGTTAATGACGATGATGCTGCTGCTGCTGATGATGGTGATGTTAGTGATGCTGCTGCTACTGCTGCAGCTGCTGATGATGATGCTGCTGATGATGATGCTGCTGCTGCGAATGACTTGATGGTTTTGATGATGATGATGACGATGGTGATGATGATGATGATGCTGATGATGACTATTATGATGAGTACTACAATTATGCTGCTGCTGATGATGATGACGGTGGTGGTGATGATGATGCTGCTGTTGGTGATGATGATGGTGATGATGATGATAATAATGACGATGTTTACGAATGTGATGATGACGATGATGGCGATGATGGTGGCGAGGTAGATGACAATGATCATGATCATGGTAATGTGGCTGCTGCTGCTGAAGCTGATGATGACGATGAGTATGATGATGATGCGTATGATGATGATGCTGCTGGTGATGGTGGTGGTGATGATGATGATGATGATGATGATGATGGTGATGATCATGATGATGACGATGATGGTGATGACGACGGTGATGCGGCGTTCCAAGACTTCCAGGCATTGATGCTCCGCGTGATCTAGAGGCGAATGGGCAAGCACGATTGGCCGAGTGCTGCTGCAAGCCCAATGAAAGTCCAGATCGTGGTCCTGGGCCGATCGCACCCTGATCGCCACTCTTGCCTCGCGGCAGCCGATCTCAAGTGGATCTTGCACGCCCTCCTCCCGCCTGTGCCTCCGCCTTTGCCTTTCGCCTCCCTCCCTCTTGTTCTTGGCCTCGCAATTTCGAAGATGATCAGCAATCACTCCTTGCTGCCTCCCACGCGTTGGGAACGTGGGCTCGGCTTTGATAGCCCTCAGCTCTGAGACTTGGCCCGAGCAGCCTACCGAAGAACGATGAATGATGCGCAACCTGCTAATTCGTATCCTGCCCCTCCGCCCTCTCGGAGAGATGATGATAATGACCATCCCGCCTATCATTTCCGAACACTGCTTACTGTGGTCTACGTTCGGCATCATCCACTCATACTTACATGATGTGTGCGTCTGCATCCCAGGAGCGACGCGCGCGCTGAGAAGTCATATGGTATGTGCTCGGGGGCGGGCGCTTTCTGGCCACACCGCTAGGGATCGATATATAATATGATGTTTGTGCTATCTGTTCGGTTCGGACGTGCGCCTCAACGGGGGCGCATAGTGTCTTCCTGCGCCCCATCTGTGCTAGCATGTCGCTCCCTCCCCGACTGCCGCCTAGAATTTTTGGATGTGTTCGGCGCGACACGGTATTCAAGGCCCAGTGCCTGAGTGTCAATGTCCCGAGCCTCTCTTAGCCTCCCGCAACGCGGTGAGGAGCGAAACGCTATCCGCTTGCACGGCCGGGTCCGCCGAAGCGACATTCTAAGCAAAAGTTCTGGAGCGCATCCCGCCTTCCATCCCCGACTGCCACTTAGTTCGGTAGCAAACCATGGGAGCCTTGTGTACATTGGTAACTCCACCTTTAGAGTGCATTCGCGTCGAGCAGCGTCTGGTCCTCGATGAGATAGCGCCCCGACTCAGTGTCGATCAGCGTCGATTTAGCGTCGATGGGTGTCGGTTAGCGTGGGTTGGCATCGATTCGCCAGCGCCAGCAAGATGGCATGGGAGGTTCTTGTGATTCGCCACAGAAGTATGTGCAAGCCTGTGCCCCTCTCCCTCGTCTTCGGCACCGCCTGATCCCGAGGCTTTGCCTCCTCCTGGCCTTGCCTTGAGGCCTCTCCTTCTGTCCCCCTCTCTTTGTTAATTCAAGCTTCGCGCGGCCCGCTTAGCTTCGACCCGAAGAGGTGCGCTCTCGACCCGCGAATCAAAACCGTGCCTCTCCCCCTCGAGGACGGGACCGTTCGCCTCGGGGACTTCCTGGGCAAGATCCGTGTGCTCGGCCTCCTGCGCCCCGCGGGCGGCAGCGGCGACGCTGGCGTCGGGGAGGACCTCGGCTGGGCCGTGCACTCAGCGGGCCAGGAGCAGGAGGAGGGCAACGTTCGACAAATTTTCTTGCCTTCAGTACTTCAGTTCCTCAGAAGGAAGTTGAGGAGGAGAAGGAAGAGGAGGAGGAGGAGGAGGAAGAGGTAGGAGAAAGAGGAGGAGGAGGAGGAGGAGAATGAGGAGAAGGAGGAGGAGGGAGGAGGAGGACGAGGAGCACGACGACGATCATGCTGCTGCTGATGATGCTGATGACGATGACGATGACGATGATGATGCTGACGATGATGATAATGCTGATGATGATAATGATGATGATGATAATGATGATGATGATGGTGGTGGTGATGATGATGATAATGATGATGCTGCTGATGATGACGATGATGATGATGATGATGATGATGATGCTGATGATGATGGTGGTGGTGGTGATGATGATACTGATGATGTTGATGATGATGATGATGATGATGATGCGGATTATGTTGTTGTTG